AGAAGGGACAAACCAAACACTAGAAAGAAGCATACGAGTTTTTCCTTTGTGCTTCGGAAAGAGAGGGTGAAGCAAGAGAGATGTGGAGCTTATATAACAATGTGTATCACACCATCATCTCTACATCCTCTCACGCGCAGGTCGTGCACATTATGTACTATATATTTTATTTTCATTGATACCAAACTGACCTTTACAATATCAGCCAATAATACAAGTGCTGATAAAAATACAGCTACTGTAGTGTTGTTAACAGATCTGTTGTTATTGTAGCTTTGGCTTTAACTGTGATAAATGTTGTTTTTGTTGTTCTCTAAGACAGCGTGCAACTGTTCAGGCTCAGTTGACAGGATTTGCATTAACTAATGTTCATGCAACCACAGTGCAGAGTCGATATTAAGGCTGTATAGACTATAACTAAGCAGCTGCTGATATTGTATCAGGATGTACACATTCACCCTGGGCTGCACAGCTGGACCAGACTAAACTGCATGAGTTCGGTTCTCCAGTGAATAAATAAAGAAGTATTTTAAACAAAGTCGGAATCGTGAGAGGAAAACCAGCGGGAAGCCTTACCTATACCATAAGCTTTGGCAAACAGCCAGCGGAGATTTGCGTCTATTTTGGCTCTGGCAGAGTCGTAGAGCTCCAGCGGTACAACCTGAGCCTCCATGCCTCCTCCACCAGCATCATCCGCCGCTGCTGCTGCTGCTGCTGCGGCCGCTGCTCTCCTCCTGGTGCCGTCCCTGCCAGCACTCACCTCCACATCCATCCTGCACGGAGGAGACACATTACATCATCGACATAAGGAACAACAAGCAGGGGCCTGGCTCTCTGACAGCTCCTGCTCCCCTCGATAACGTGAAATACTACACATCTACTCACCTTGTTAAACCTGCAGGCGCTGCAGCTGTGTCTGCCGCCGAGTCACCACGATTCCTTTGCTTTGATTATATATATATATAAACATAAATATGCACTTTTAAATCCCACCCAAGCAATATGCACATAAAGGATTTATGTGCATATTGTTTCAGCTGATGATGTGGAAGAAAAAGCTGCACTTTGGTACATAATGAGAGCTGCTCGTTAGGTTTATTAGCGACCAAACCATTAAATAAAACACCAGCTTTCCCTTGACAGCTGGTGTCAGCTGGTTATTGTCCACCCAGGTCCAGTGGAGACCAATGAATGACCCAACACTCACCTCGCACCTTAAGTTCAATCGTTAGCTACGATTAGCTACAGCTAAACTACGCACACACCCCGAAACACAAGCCGACATAACACGAACAAAAGAAGCCTCACCTCTAAGACTGCATCGGGTCCTCTCGAGGCTTTTTAATGTCTGAGACGTGTTGTTAAAAGGCCGACATGATGGCTTCGGGTGGTAACAGTCAAATAACGGAGGGACTCCTCCCTGCACGGCGACACCGAAATCTCCGGCCTCTCAGGATAAAGCTGGCTGGCTGGCTGATGGTCGTTAATCCAATAATAAAAAATCTGTTTGGCAACCATCCGGATATCTGTTTTTGAGGGAATTATCAACGTACAAGAGCCGGTGGTTTCATTTTGTCGCTGCCATCGCCTCAGAGAGAGACAGAGACAGAGACGGAGAGGTAGCGGGTCTAGGGCAGCCCTGTTGTCGGAGCCTGTCTCTATGGGGACGACTGTGGTCTTCTGTCAGCTCGGCTGCAATACAACTGTTCACCTGCGGGGGGCGCTGCAGGCCTGTATCATGAGAGGCAACGGTGGTCTGGGGTGGACATGTGTGGCACTGCAACACTGGCAGAATACACGTGTTTTAATGTTAAATATGTTTACAAAAGAAAGAAAAATACACTATGAAATAAATTATAATATGAGTAAGTAGATATAAGAACTAATAAGGCTAATAGTGTTTAATTTATTAATTCTTTATCAAACTTTCTCCCTTTTTTTTTTTTACATTTAATTATTGAAATGTTTACCTCTATGTCTGTTTTATTTCATAATGTAATTTTTTTTTCGCAAGTAACTTGTTGTTTTTGTTGTTTTTCAGTTTTTAGCTTTAAAATGAATGCAACAGTTTGCATCAATCTTTATTATTTATTATGGTAAATCAAAATAATGCAACTTTAAATAGTTTATCTAAACTAATAAATTAAAAGTTTTAATCTTGCAACCATGCATTTATTTAAGTAATAGGTCCAGTATACCCACTTATTTTTCAGTTGTCATTAGGTATACCTACTTCTAAATCCTCTCTGATACACATCATTCACTATTCTGTGAGATGTTTTTTTACTAAGATGGCAAAGGTGTGACATAGCTGAATGCAGTAAGGAATAAGGAATAATTCACTTATATATATATATCTTTATATAATTATAAAAATGCAGTTGTCTCACCCCTCTGTGGGTCAGTATTGATTCTTCTGTGGCTGAACTGCTCTTGTAACAATATACAAGAGCAGTATTACATGTCCCTGATTATATCACAGGGTGTTTATCCTTTGCTGGATGGGCACTTTTAAAAGAAAATTTGGGGCATAAATTAAGAGTATACCCACTTCTTTAGGCACCATTACACCACTGAACTAACCAAGACCAAAATACAAGTATTGGATCTGTATAGAACGTACAGGAAATATTTCAAGCAACAGTAATCTATAGAATATATGTAAGAAAAAGAAAGAAAACACAATATTTTACAATTAATACTCTACTAACATGAGTATTTTTTCATAATGTATTATTTATTTGTTTTATATTGAACAATGTGGGGCTCAATGGAGACAGATTTGAAAAGGAATAATCAAATATGAAGGGTCCACTGAATCCTACATTGCAACAATTAACATTTGTATATCATATTATATCATAACATTACTACAACATAACAATATAGTAATATTATTACTGCATTAACATGAAATATCAACATGGCTGTCACATAAATAAGTTAGAGTAAAAGGTGCACTAGCTGCATGTAAAATTTAGATGTAGAAAGTATTTCAAAATGAAAGTACTCAATTAAAGTACAAGTACCTCAGTTATGTTTGACCCTGTAGGACACTCCCTTCTTGATAAATACCTGTGTCTTTTAACTCCACCCTGCATTATCAATACTGGAGGATTATGGAAGCCCTCCAGTGTTTGCTGATGGGATATCTGAGGCTATAAAAGCACCACTAATCCCATTCACCACAACCTAAAACCCCCACTTTCCAGACATTGTGAATTGCAATTTTGGCTGAACTAAAAAACAATGGCCCTAATCTTTGGAATGTTTAAGTGATTAATGGATAAAATCTTTTGGTCCCATTGTCTTCCAGTTGAACAGCAAATATAGCGCAGCTTCCTGTGATGTCCATGTGCTCACAGCAAGAGGTTTATACAGACAGAAGTCTAAAGGAAACAGAGTAACCTTGGTTTTCTCGGTGTGATAGGAGAGTTGCCCTGAATGGATTAACAGACTCTTCAGATTCAATTTCAGCTGCACACAAAATGATTTTTCATACTCAAGGTTCCAAATAGTCAGTGGCTTTAAAACATAGATAACATTGCAACCCCAGACAAATGCATATGCAGTAGTGATTCCCGTAAGCAATCACATTTAATGTGGAGAATTGAAAATCAATACATACGAGGTATGTCTCGACAAAATCCCGTCATATCATTTGTTCATCTCTAGATAAAACTGAACCAGCTATTCTGTCTTTTTCCAAGGATCCAGCTCACATCTTTGAATCTGATTATCTTATTCTACAGGCAAAGAATAATATCAACATCCTGTTTATACTAGTGCCTATGTTTGTATGGTTGTATCCACACATTTATTCAAGACTAAAATCTTAGCTGAAATAAACTGGAATGGTTTTCAGCACCAACAGTGTTGTCTTTACTGTGGTAGTCTCATACTATCACCACTAGAGGGCAGCACACACCCAGACCTGCAGTGATACTTTACCTTTTAATGCCATGGGTGAGTTTGACTACTCCAGATGAGGTGGCCATACTGTCAGTCACATCATACTTCAGAAAATAAAATTAAAACAGGAAAGGAAACCATATCTTAAAGCTTGACAGCAGTTTTTATTGAATCAAGACAATTTTTTACAAAACATTTTAATCAGGAAATACTTCTTTGCAAACTACAACTTTGCATGAACATTGATTTTTGAATTACATTTTTTTCTTAAAAACATCTTTATCTCTGAATTAGTTTATAAAACATGACATTTAGACACCTTAGACCACACTCCTTTACAAAGTGCAGGTGATGCCGTTAAACACACAAAGGTCCCCATTTCTTTCACAAACAATGTTCTCCACTTCGAAGACATTTTTTTTTACAAGAAATCTCACAAATATGTTGCTTTTCTTAGGAAAAACAAAAATCACACTGGCACTATTTTAAACTGTGGCAAATGTAACATTTCAACTTTCTACAACAGGTCTGCAATGTAACACTTAACAGGTTAAACATGGTAACCATAATCACTGATTTGGGATACAATATGAAATAAAGAAAAAGTCCTTGCATCATAAATGATCACAAATCAATTACTCAGCACCAGCCCAGACCATCGTTCAACATAAATAGGCTTAGGTTGATTTAGATGCGTTTTCCACTCATTTTGAAAAGCATCTCTCAACTGATAAGGGATATTTGTTCTGTGCTTAAAGGTCCCAAATCTCCAAAATTAAATTACAAGATCTGCGTTTACTCAGCTCAGTTACTCTCCATCATTTTGCCAAGAGAGGACAGTGTAGCAAGCAACATAGGAAGGTGACACTTTATATATATATTTGATCATCATCTAACACAGACTCAGTGATAAGACTTAGTGAAATGTAGTTCAGTAACAAAACCTGTGTCACTTAAAAATACAAAGGAGGTTAAAATATAATTAATTAATACTGAAAATTTAAAATAATCTATAAAAGTTGAAAAAAATCTGTACAGACATAACGTAATGCAAATCCCAAAAATAAAATTTATGAAGGCCGATGCATCAAAAGATTGAAATAAATCCAGTGAATAAAGAAACACAAGACACAAATAAATAGCCAGTGTACACATCTAGGAGTCTTTGTTTTCTTCTGATATACACTCCTTTTAAACGGTTTCTAATCTTCCCATACATTACAGAACAAAAAAATAACAAAAAAGCATAAATATAAAAGCATCTTCTTTATATTTCAGGTCAAAAAAAGCACATAAATAAATACAAAATTACTAAAACTGTTCTTATCGTTAGTATAAAAACTGATAATAAAAAAGGAGCATGTTCAGTCTGGAGGCAGGTTTGTCACTCTCTTTCTGTATGAACTTTCTTTATATATTGTTTTCCACTAACGACTTCTGTCCGTTTTACAGGTCTCTACTTAAACTGGTCTGGGATCAGATTCATCTGCGAATGGATACTTGTGGGCGGGCTGGAGATGCCTTCCGACCAATCGGACATGTTGGAATGTGGGGACGAGCTGGACCACTGGTCGGGGGAGCCGGGGGAGGGAGTTAGAAATGGATGATCAGGCACCTGTAGCTGGTGGTTAGGTGTGTTGTCCATGGGGCCAGAATAACTGTGCTGGGAGGGAGGAGTGAGAAATTGGGTGCCGAGGATCTGTGTCTCCTGGGGCATAACAGTGTGGATGGGCATACCACGACCTGAGCCGTTGTTTTGTTGCATTTCGGAGCCGTTCAGCTCGATGTTTGGGAAGCTCTGTCCGAGGGACTGTCCGGCTGTGGTGGAGTTGGAGTTCTGGTGCTGGAGCTGCCGCGAGTGAGCTTGCTGCATCATGTGTGCAGTAGACCCGAGGTGGCTGGTCTGCAGATTCTGGTAGCCCATGATCTGAGATAGAGTGGCAGTGCTGACGCCATGCAGAGCACCCATCATGTTGTGGGACATGGGTTGCGCCTGAGCGAAGCTTCCTTGCTGGCCTACACCTGGGTGCATCCTGGTGACCCAGTCACACTGGCCTCCCCGGGTGCCACCTATGGATGTGCCCTGATTGTTGGGGCTGGACACAGGCATGTGGGAGAGACGTGGTGGGTTGGGGTCAAAAGACATACAGCCCATATCCTTACCCATGCTCATCTGGCCCATATGGTCTCCATTGCCTTGTAGGTGATTTAGAGACATAGGTGGGGACTGCTGGAAGGGTGATGTCATGGGAGGAGAGGCCACATCAGACAGATAGCCATGCGGTGACTCAAGGGAATCAACCGGGGAGAGGACAGCCGACGTGTCAAGCAAGTTACCCTTCCCATCTAACGATTTTTTCTTCTTCATTCTATTATCTTTTCCACCGTCCTTCCCTCCTTTTCCACCCGAGCTAAGTTTGCGAACCTTCTTGACAGACAGGGTGGGCTTTAGGTTGCTAAGGTAGTCATTGGGGGAGCAGAGAGGTGGGGAGAGGCTGGAGGTGCTTAAGGCGGCGCTGTGAAGCCCGGGACTCCTAACAACATTGTACTCATCCAGAAGGCGAACAATGTCATGGTGCATGCGCTCGCTGGCAATATCTCTGGGCAGCTGGTCGAGGTGGTCGGTGATCTCGCGATTGGCAAAGTGCTCCAGAAGAACTTTGGCCGTCTCAAAGCTGCCTTCCCGAGCAGCAAGGAAGATTGGTGTCTCTTCCTAAAAAGTAACCAAGAAAAGAAAAACA